CTCCATTTCTATTTTTTTGAATAAATTAAGTAGTATTGGATGTAGATCTTCTTTAAATGTCTGATAGAATTCTGCTGTAAATCCATCTGCTCCTGGGCTTTTTTAAGTCCGGAGGTTTTGTATTACTGTTTCAATTTCTTTTTGTGCTATGGGTCTGTTTAAGCTGTCAATCTCTCCCTGGTTTAGTTTTGGTAGTTGCCATGCCTTTAGATATCCATCCATTTCTTTTAGGTTTTCATATTTAATAGCATATAGGTTTTGCAAGTATTCCCTTATAATGTTCTCTATCTTTCTGGTGTCTGTTGTGATGTTTCCCCTTTCATATCTGATTTTGTGGATTTCTTTAATTTTTGCTCTGATTTTTGTTATTTCTTGTCTGCTGGGTTTGGGTTTCATTTCATTGTTTCTTTTCAAGTTTCTTGAGTTGCAATGTTAAGTCAATTATTTTTGTTCTTCTGATTTTTTGATGTAGGCACTTAGAGCTATAAACTTCCCTCTAAGGACAGCTTTCAGCATGTCCCAGAGGTTTTGTTGTGTTGTATTATCCTTTTCATTTAGTTCCAGGAATACTTTTATTTAATTCTCTGTTTCTCCTTTGACCCATTTATCATTCAGGAGTGTGTTGTTTAATCTCCATGTGTTCATGTGGTGAGTAGTGATTCTTCTGGTGTTGATTTTAAGCTTTATTGCATTGTGTTCTGATAGAATGCATGGAATTATTTCAATCTTTTTGTATTTGTTGAGGTTTGTTTAGTGCCCCAGTATAAGGTTGATTTTGGAGAAGGTTCCATCGGGTGCTGAGTAGAAAATATGTCCTTTGGTGCTTGGGTGGAACACTCGGTAGATGTCTGGTGGAATACTCGGTAGATGTCTGTTAAGTCCATTTGATATATGGTGTTAATTTGGATGTCTCTCTGTTAACTCTCTTCCCTGTTGACCTACCTAATGGAGACAGTGGGGTATTGAAGTTGCCTGCTATTAATGATTTGGGATTAATCTGTGTCTTAAAATCCTGTAGTATTGTTTTTATGAAGTTGGGTGCACCAGAGTTTGGTGAATATATGTTCATGATTGTAATGTCTTCTTAATTCACTGTTCCTTTGATCAAAATGAAGTGGCCCACTTTGTCTCTTCTGATTAGTTTTAGTTTAAAGTCTATTTTGTCAGATATTAGAATTGCTACGCCTGTTTTTTTTCTTAGTGCCATTTGCTTGGTATATTTTTTTTCCATCTTTGCACTTTGAGATAGTGTCTGTCCTTGAAAGTGAGATGAGTAGTAAGAGGAGTTTCTTGCAAACAACAAAAAGAATGGGTTTTGTTTCTTAATCCATTCATCTAATCTGTGTCTTTTGACTGGGGAGTTCAGTTCATTAATATTTAAAGTTATTAAAGATGAGTACTGAATCCTGTTATTTTTATTTCTGTTTACATTCTTGATATAGCTGTACTTTTCCACAGTTATACCTTCATTGAATTTCTTTCCGCAACCCCTTTGGAAGATTTTTCTTTCCCATTCGACTATAATAGACATTTTGGCTTGGTATAGTAGTCTGGCTTGGCATCTGTGGTCATTTAAAACTGGGAATACTTTGGTCCAGGCCCTTCTGGCTTTCATAGTTTGCACTGAAAAGTCAGCTGTAATCATAATGGGTTTTCCCTTGTATGTGACTTGTTCTTTCTCTTTTCCAGCTCTCAGGATTGTGTCTTTGTTTTGTATGTTTAGTGTTTTTACTATGATGTGCCATGGAGCATTTCTTTTCTGGTCCTGTCTGTTTGGTGTTCTATATGCTTCTTGTATTTGTATGGGCATGTCTTTCTTTAATTTCTGGGAA